GTCCAGATACCCCCTATGGTAAGCAAACCCGGACAAGCAGTGTGCCCAAGAGTGCCTTCTGGGGCCAGGGGCTGCCATTGTATGGGGGGGATGCCTCGGCACAAGAGCGTGGTGCCAGCAGTAAGCAGAACTCTCTCCAGCGTCCATGTCAGACCAGTGAAGGTTAGCGGATTCTGGAGAAGGGATGAAGTTTGATCTGCTGAGTTGTAAGCGTAAGGCATGTGCTGTTCGTCAGAGCTGTAAATGGGTTTGGCAGGTGCCTCTTGCCCTTCAAGAGGTGGGGCTGAGAACCCTTGATCTCATCCAGGAGGACTGAACAACTGTGGAATGGGGAAGGAGCCAATGCAAAAGGGTGACGTGCTGAACAAGCCATGTAGAAAGCAGAGTTACTAGATCAGGGATGCTCCAAAGAGGAGCTCAAGTGCCCCATTCAGAATACTCCCTGGAACTGAAGCCTCAGTAGAGATGCTTCTGTCCTGCATTGAAGAGCCAGGTCAGCACACAGTGATGTCACAAAGGAGGTTGAATGGCATGCCCTTCTTCTGTATTCTTTGGAACTAACGCTTTAGACTAGTATCTGATCAGAACAGACAAGCTGCTGAGCTCGGGTGCAGCGCTGCCTCCAGAACATTCTTTTGTGCTCTCTCTAGCCACCACTCTAATCTCTGTAAGCCGCTCAGATTTTGGATTCTAAAACCTTTCCCAGACAGTTACGCATTGTGGGGAGGGCTTGGGCGTATGCACCAGCAGAAGTTGCTCTGTGCACAGGGAGAGCTCTGTTTACTCCAGTTTTCCACATTGCTGTAACCTTCCACGATCATGTGGCAGACGGAATAATGATTAATGCTGTGAATGTTCTTTTCATGTTTCTCTCATGTGCCTGCTGTCTTCTGCTTGGATTGAGCCCATTACTGCTGGTCATATGGTCTCTGTAGTTTTCCATTGTATTTTTTTATGCTGTGTAGTTTCTTTTCTTTGGCATCCCAATCTCTCTGAATATCAGCCCACAGCTGTACTGTGGTAAAATGAGATATTCAGCAAGTGATCTTGAAAATCCACAATTAACAGAAGCAAAACTCTTTTTAATTTCCCCTTTAACATTCTTATTGTTTTGGAGTTCCGTTCAATGTGATCTGTGATTTCCATTCCCCTCCCATTTTGCAGGCCTGGATTTTCTGGTCCCCGTCGCAGGTTACCTCTGCAGGCTGTGTCATAAATTCTACCATAGTGACTCCGCTGCCCGGGTCACACACTGCAAGTCCCTGATGCATTTTGAGAACTTTCAGGTTAGACCCCTTTGGCAATTGCATGGCCTGGCATTTGTCACTCTGTGTGTGTCTTCTCTATTCCCTCTGCACCTCCTCTCTTTGAGTTGTCTGTCTTCAGCACCTTCCCATTGTCCTCAGTGTCCATCACAATGTCCGTCATGCCACAGCTTTCATCGGGTATGCTCTCTGCTTGTCTTCAACTCCCCTTGTAGATCAGACACCGTTCTGCTCCTGCTTCCTAACTACTGCTAATGTCTGCCATTGCCCACTCTCAGCTGGAAATCCTCCATCTCCCCAGCAAATGTTGGATCTGTTCACTGAACCTCTGAAATGGAATCCCTGATTCAGCCTGGGACTTTCCTGGTCCCTTAGTGAGTACAAATGGGTGAAGCTGGTGGGAGACTAGACAAGAAGAGGCTGCTCCTTTTAAAGAGAGCAGGAAACGATATGCATCTGTCTAGGTGAAGCTTTAGTGTCCGTAATGCTGGAAATCGGCCCGGACACTCAAATTACATATAGGTAACATCTATACAGGGGACAGGTAGTTGGAAACTCATCTTTAAAATGGTAGAAATGAAATTCCAGGCCAGTTTTAGAAGATGGAGAACTCCAATCCGTAAGCTGCTGAGAGTTTGGTCGGTCAGCAGGGACTAGGCAGCAGCAGGGAGTTTCTGGTAGCTTGTCTGGAGGCTCTTCCCTGGCACAGAGTTCAGCCAGTTAATGCTGTTCCTCTGCTGTATCTAGTCCACACAAAGAAGATACAAGAATGGCCCTTGCTTTCAGCTGTAAACTCATCCACTGCCTCTCGCAAATTTTGATGCCTGGACCTGAGTTTGCCGCCTCCTCTCTGTGCTTGAATATCAGGAAGGGCAGTAATCAGATTTGTGACCTGTGCCCATCAGGCTGCTCTTGAGGCACTGTAGTGCTTTTCCTTCCCCCTTCAGTGACCATTGCCTGAGTCTTCTGTATGGAAGTGGCATTCCCTGACTCCTGGGATAAGGGGTAATTCCAATTTGCATTTCCTCTGCTGGTTCGGGCTAAGGCCTGCTTCAGCAAAAATATCCCATTTCTCCTCCTGTGTATTCATAGTTTCCTCATGGTGTGTCCCGTGGAGCTTTTCTGCTAGTTTTCAGACAGGTTAACCTTTCACTAGCTTGGCAAAGGAGTTAACAGTCCCCTTTCTATCCATTACCTTTACCAAGAGCTGGGGGAAACAAGTGTCCCACGTGTGCTGGCAGTTCTTAAAATCTTTGCAGCAGGTGAAGCTGCAGCTGTTCCTCTGGGTCACCCATTCCCTGTACAGATCACTTCCGGAATGAAAGAGCCAGTCCCGCTTGTCCATGTTTTGCTTCAGTAAGTTATTCAGATCGATGTAGTTACAGTCCCTCTTCCCGCTTGTTAAAAATGAGTTAGCATAGCAGCAGTGAGCGTTCCTCCCCTCCATCCTTAGAACCCGGGGACATGCTCCTGTTTCCACGCACTGGGGTACCAGAAAGGAAGTGTTGTCTAGTAGTTAGGGGACTGAGTCAGATTTCTTCTCTTCTGGCAGTGAGTTGCTGTGTTACTTTAGGGAGGTCACTTAGCTTCTCCATTCCTATCTATAAAATAGTGAGAATGGCCTCAAGGGCTACCATGAGGGTTAATTCATTGATATTTTATGAAGTGGTTGGAAGTAGCTGACTCCAGGTGTATGTGGGTGTGACTTGGAGGAGTTGGCCTTCTACAAATATTTAAGGCTAGTCTCCATTTATAACTAGCCACTGCCCTTTTGAGTCTTGTGATCTCAGCTGGAAATAGTTACTCCCTGGACTGTTCATACTGCTGGTTAGAGGTCTAAGGACTGTCATGGTCTTTGCATTAAATGCCTTCTAGTTTCTTTCAAGTGGGGTGAACAGCACTTCTGGCCAGAATTCCACACTGGAAGCTTCTTAGCAGCAAACTGCTTGCATCTGAGGCACCAATCTGGAAACAGCTACCTTGCACTTGGTCAACAAGAGTTGTCCCAGTTTAAGATGTGACTTTTAAACTGATGTAGTTACACCAGTATGTAATGCTTAGTGGACACTTAGCTGGTTTAAACTGCTGTATTCTGGTTTAGCTTAAATCAATTTGGAACAGACAAAGTAGTGCAAACCTCTCTGTGGACCCTTTAACTTAATCAATTAAAAATTGAATGAGCAGACAGTCTGATTGCATTGCTTAGATGAGCAAAGTGCAAAAGGAAACATTGTCATTTCATTGTGTTTAGCTGCAGCAAAATTGGTGTTAATCTGGTTATTCCCCTTTAAAATGCCTGTAAGGAGTGCAAACAACCAATAGTCTTGTGTATCTGGAGGGTGAGACTACCTGCCTCCTGCCCACCCCCAAAGCTAATTCAGTCAGTAGTTGAGATGAGTTTTCTTGATTTCACTTACTCAACTGGGCTATTGATCTATCATCTCCAATCAAGATTAACAGCTATCAAAGTCTGGTTCTAGCTCTGTATTCCCAGCCTCATTCTACCTAATCCCTCCGCATTAGCAAATGCAAGAGGGAATAAAACCTTAATACCATCACTTTTTGCCAGGAGCAGACCTGTACCTGCTTGAACTCCTTCCCTCAGCAGCCCACCCAAGAGAGCCGTAGACTTGTGCTTTGTTTGGAGATTAAGCCAGCCATTGCAGTCTGTCACGTGCTACTGTCTTTGTGCAGGTTTCTCCTGGACCAGCTGAAACTGTCCTGTAATGTCTCAGGCCAGTTATCGCTCACACATTTTTCCTTTGCACAGAGATACAAGGCAGCAAGGCACCGAGCTACAGCAGCACACTCGGAGGCCTCTTTGTGCTCCCGTGGCTCTGGCTTCCAGTCATCGGATGAGCAGCTGCAGCCACCTGCTAAGACAGAGGATGAAGCTGAGACAATGAATACCCATCATGGCAGGGGAGAGGAAGATCCAGAATTATTGGCATTAAAAGAACAAACCTGTAGGTCTCTAGAGAATAAGAGTGAGCTGGGCCCCTCTGTGAGAAGGGGTGAAAGCCCAACCAGTGAGACTGATATATGTGGAGCCCTGGTCATAGAGGAGGAAGGAAGTCAGGATGAGGGTAGCAAGTCCCCCACCACTAGTGAAGACTGCCTGCTCCTAGATGAAGACAGTGCCACAGGGGAGTTGCTGGGACACAGTATGTGTAAGGAAGAGGAAAGTGATGGCACAGACAAACCCCAGTACCCAATGAGCGAAGGGGATTCTGAACAGGAGGCAGCAAGCATCAGAGAGAAAGAGGCAGACACCTGCTCTCCAGCCAAAGGAGAAGCAGCAAATCTAACCCCAGCAGGGCGTAGACGCTCTGCCCGACGCAAACCCAGATAGAACAGCTTTAAAGGGAGAGCCCTTTGCATACAATATTTGCTGGAAATGTTTATTTTCGGAGTCTTTTAATAGAGCAAAAAACCTTCCACTTTACTGCTGTTTTTATTTTAAAAATAAAAAAGCCTGGCTTTAGCGTGTCTAAGGGGATGGCATTGGGTGTTATTTATACGGCTGGGATGTGATAGAGATCCATGGGATAGCCAAAGCACCGTACTGTTAAACCTGAAAGGGTTGCTGAAGTTGACCTTCCTAAAGTTTAGGCTCATGGCTTGAACTGGCAAAGCCTGCTGCAAGACTGTGCTCACTAAGACTTCGCACTGTACTAGCCATCTACTTCCTGCTGTGCTAAGGTGGTTCCCCTTTCACAGGTCCTGAGACTGATGGGAGCAGAATTTTACTGCTGGCAGATGAGTCAGCCCCATGCAAACACAATTTATGCACTTTCACAATGTTTTCCCATCGAATCAAGCCAGTGCACTAGGCAACAGGGTCGCTCAGGACCCAGTTTTAGACTAGAACATGAAAGAAGCTCAGTCATTTGATCTCTCAGCACTTAAAGCAAGGCTGCCTCTGAAATGCTTCTGGGAGGACGTTCAGTTTAAGCTCATTTATTAAAAGTTTCTTTATAAATACTATAACTGTACAAAATGACAGTCACTTCACAATGCTGGGCCCTGCTAGCAGAAGCCACAGACACGGTCAAAGCAGTTTCACAGACTTACAGTGCTCATGCAGTCTTACAAACATGTTTGTATCTCCCAGACATTCAGGAAGGACTCTGTCATGACAGCATTGCTGGGCAATCCTCCTACCCCCTCTCACCATGTGGCTGTGACATGACAAGGGGAGCGGATTAGGCTGCTATATGGTAATACCTCTCAAAAGCCACTGCTGAGGCTCTAGCAGTGGTTTAAGGAGTTATTCAGCTGCTCTTTACTCTCCATTAAGTAGAGCTTGATGGTAGCTTACATTACATTTGCTTTGAAGGGGGAATGTGTGGACTGGAGTCCTGTCACTTAGCCAACATTTCTCATCACAGAACTTTTGTAAACCTAACTGAAGTGTAGACTGTAGGGAGCCTGCAGCCACAGGGCTGAAGAAACAAGATGATTTAAGCCCCAAAAGAAGCCTATTACCCTCCCCACAGTTAACACTGAGAGCAAGTCTGGGGCTAGAATGGAGCCACCATTTGCTATGGATCTCCAGAACTGTAAGGCTTAGAAGCCCAGTTTACTGGGGGAGACAAGTCTGTGAGGTAGAGTTCTAGACAGTCCTCAGGACAACAGTCATCACTTTCCTTGGTAGTTGAATTGTGGCAAAAGGGGCCTATACATGAATGCCCACACTTGCAGCATAGGCTTCCCATACCCACTTCTAATGGTGTCACTGTCAGCTCAGAACTGGAGCTGGAAATATCGACTCCCCATCTCTCCCCTCACCCACCTATTTGCTGATGCAGCATCAGTCACAAAGAGAAAACAAGACAGACACAGAGAAGGGCAGAACATTTAACCACTGGAGGGACTGCACAACAACAAGTACCGTTTCTAGTCAAATTTTACATTAAACCACAGACAGTGGAGGTCCCATTGGAAGTAAAAACTATTTGACAGTTTGTGTCCAGCAAACAGCAGGAACTAGATGTCCGTGTGTGGTCCCTGCACATCAGCTTGCATGTTCTGCTCTTCACTCAGCTGCTGCTGGAACTCCAGGCGTGTCTGACGGTTGGATTCCAGCAGCTCCTTCAAGCGGGCATGCAGATGGTCATTCTTCTCCTCCAGGTGATCCAAACAGGAGTTGATTTGGTCCAGCATGGAGTTTATTGCTGCATATTCTAAAGGAAGGAGAACAAAAAAAATCCTGAATTTAAATTCTTGTACAACCACCACTCATTCTAAGAAGCTTCCACTAGACAGGGATCCACACTGCAAGAGGGCTGAATAGATAAAAGCTGAATTAATCTCTTCACCCTCCCTAGAGGTGGCCTTGCCTAATCAGGGTACAGGCCCCTTGAGAGGGTGCTGTTGAGAAGCTTAGCACAGAGAGTGTAACCTCCAGAGCTGCCACTCTAGGACCTGGCACATGAAAATCTGGAAAAAGAATTCCAGAACATCACAGCAGCTGATGTGGGAGCAGGAGTAGAGGAAAAAAGGTGCAGTGCAGTGGAGCCCCTTTGAATGAGCTGAATAAGAACATCTCATAAGGTCCTAAGGGAAAAAGTAACCAGAGGGATGAATGTGGACCAATTCTGATTTCCATGAACAGCACTTATCCCCTTAATTTCTTAAGTTGTTCACCCAGGTCTCAATAGTGCAGAGACCACATAGGTCTTGCTTTGCCATTTAAAACACTGCACTAGGAAGCAAGAATTCATTGTAAACCACCCTGCAGGATCTATGTATGTATCATGCCATACAATCAGCACAAACCAGGTCCAACAGGCCATTCAAACCTACTTGTGATGCTGCTTCTTCCCAGGGGGAGGGGGGAAAAGCACTCACACCAAGCCCCGAGTAAAAGAAAAAATGTGGTTCTCATGTACATCTACGAAGAACATGATCTAATTCAAGCCTCAGGAGGAGCCACAGATTTCACTTCACACACAAGGTCAACCAGAGTTTACATGGAAAGAGAATATTTTTAATGTTTAAATAGCTAGACCTGTTCCGTTGAACACAGCAAGGGGCATCAACAACCAGTCCTCAAACAGCATTGTTTAGAATAACAGACCACAGTCTGAATGGGACTTCTCTGCAGCTTGCACTCAGACATCAGGAGCATGTGGGAGAAAGAAATAAGAGGATCCGATAGTGAAGCCGTTTTCAGCTAACAATACCCTGAACACAAGTACTGGTTCTCCCCAAATCTTTTAGAAGACAGTGTGGGAAGTCCTTGAATAGCACATGCCACAGCTGAAAGCGATTAATGCTATACCTTAATTCTGATACTACATTATTCTAAATTAAGTTGTGAAGTGACTTCCCGAGACTGGAATGCACAGGGTTAGAAAACAGTGCAGTCCTTGCTTCCAAACTGGGAGAGCTTTGTGGGACAGGCTAAGAGACACGATAGATTATTTAGAAAACTCATCATATCTCAGGACTTCCCACTCAAAGCCAACTATAGAGATACCTGGTAACAAAAGAATCACCAGCTTCTAAGGTTCTGAGTGATTTCAAGAGGAAACACCCTTGACATCTTCAGAATCTAGTTCTAAATTGGATGGACAGCTCAAATGGACCCAGCAGAAAGAATCTCTTGAGGCAGGTGATAGTCCATAAAGCTCAAATTCCCAAAGGAATTGTCATAGAAGACTAGCTAAGCATCCCTTTTTCATCAGGAGCCAGAGGAAGGTCTGAAACATGATATTCCCTTCCTGGCTAGTAACTAGTTGTACTGGCGCTTCCCAGAACGGTATGATGAAAGGCCTTTTTAGTCCTAGAAATCCTCCAGGATATTTTCAGGAAAGGCGCTCTTAGATTTTGTTAAAAGGCACCAAACTAGGGTGTTGGATGGTTTAGTCTTATAGAACCATAGAAATGTCGGGCTGGAAGGGACCTTGAGAAGTCATCAGGTCCAGCCTCCTGCACTATGGCAGCACCAAGTAAATCTAAACTGTCCCTGACAGGTGTTTGTCTAACAACGGTGATTCCACAACCTCCCTGGGAAGCGTATTCCAAATCTTAACGACACTTATAGTTCAGAAGTTTTTCTGAATAGTTAACCTAATTTTCCCTTGCTGCAAATTAAGCCCCATTATTTCTTGTCCTCCTTTAGTGAACAGGAGAAGAGTTGATCACCATTCTCTTTATATCAACCCTTAACATATTCGAAGACTTATGTCTCCCCTCAGCCTTCTTTTCTTAAGACTAAACGTGCTCAGTTTGAAAAAAAAAAAAAAAGATTTCCTCATAGGTCAGGTTTTTTAAGGCGATCATCATTTTTGTTGCTCTCCTCTGGAATCTCTCCAATTTGTCCACATTGTTGCAGAAGTGTGGGGCCTAGAATTGGACACAGCACTCCAGCTGAGGCCTGACCAGTGCAGAATAGAGCAGGACAGTTATTTCCGGTGTGTTATATAGGATTCCTGTTAATATACCCCAGAATGATATCCGCCTTTTTTACAGCTGCATCACATTGTTGATTCATACTCAATTTGTGATCCACTATAACCCCCAGATTCTTTTCAGCAGTACCACCACCTAGTCAGTTATTCCCCATTTTGTAGTCATGCATTTGATTTTTTTTTTCTCAAGTGAAGTACTTTCCATTTATTGCTATTGAATTTCTTCTTGTTGAATTCAGACCAATTCTCACATTTGTCAAGGTCATTCTGAATTCCAATCCTGTCCTCCAAAGTGCTAGCAGCCCCTTCCAGTTTGTTGTTCATCTGGAAATTTTATAAACATACTCTCCATTATCCAAGTTATTAATGAAAATATTTAATATCACCAGACCCAAGACTGACCCCTGCAGGACCCCACCAGATCCTCCCTTCCAAAGAAAAGTAGCAAGGAGTCTGGTGGCACCTTAAAGACTAACAAGATTTATTTGGGCATAAGCTTTCATGGGTAAAAACCTTACTTGTTTGGCAGGATTTGTCCCTAACAAGCCCATGCTGGCTATTCTTTATACCCCACTATCTTTCCAATTATCAAAGTGGGACTGACTGGGCTAGAATTCCCCAGGTCCCTTTTGTTCCCCCTTTTAAAGACAAGTGCTATGTTTGCCCTTCTCCAGTCTTCTGGGACCTCACCTGTGCTCTATGAAGGGTTTGAATATTGCTTTAGCTAGTTCCTTAAGTACCCTAGTATGAATTTCATCAGGCCCTGCTGACTTGAATACATCTCAATAGTCTTTAACCTGTTATTTCCCTGTTTCGGCTCGCAATCCTTCCCCCTTGTTAATATTAGTTGTGTTGAGTATCTGATCATCATTAACCGGTTGGTGGGTGTGTGCGCTGGGAGCAAGCCTGCTGGGGGGTCTGTGGTTTATCTAGAGAGAGGGAGTATGCTTGGAGCAAGGGATTGGGGAAGGGGGGGGACTCACCCCAGGCAATTGGGTGCTAGGAGCAGGGAGAGTTTGGTGTGGGGCATGGCTCTCCCCAGATGGGGGGTGCTAGGAACAGGGAGGGGTCCGTGGCTCATCCCAGGTAGGGGGCTGCTGAGAGCAGAAGGGGGGCTGTGGGGTCCGGGACTCACCCCAGAGCAGGGGATGCTGAGAGCAGGAAGGGGGCCGGGCTGTGGGGTCCGGGACACCCCAGAGCGGGGGATGCTGAGAGCAGGAGGGGGCCGGG